GCCGTATTCGAGGGGTGACTGGCTTCTGGATTGCAATCCATTGACAATTCTGGCTGGGTGATGGCTGGCAAGGGGAGAGGAGAGCGTCTGCTGGGAGTCATGCCATGGGTTCGTTCGTTTGTCTTTGGTGCCTGCCCGCAATCGCGGTCGAAGCCGAAGTCGAAGTCGCAATCACAGTCGAGGTCGCGGTCGGTCGCGGTCGCCGAAAGATAGAATTCGAAACATCCTTCTTCCCCCAGATGCCCACGAACGATCTCACCTTCACGGTGTTGACGCCACTTAAGCAATCGCCGACCCCCGACCCGGGAGGGGCGGTTTCTTCGTCGTCGATCCCGCTGCCGTGTTGTGCCGTACTCTACTCGTACAACGGCTAGTCGTATCCTCCCACCATCTGCTCGGTCCGGGGCCCTCCTTAACAAGGGAGTGACGCCCTTCCTGCATCGGTAGATTCCCGTTTACTTATCGGGGGGTCGATGTCCGGCAGATGGTGTCCCGCGCTGGTTCCCTCGGGGTCGAAGGAAATTCCCGCGATGACGACACGGCCAGATGGTTTTGTGCAATAGTTGGTCGCGCGGAATCCACACTTGTTCCTTCCGACCATCGGGAAACAACGGACTTAAACAACCTCGATTCGATTCGTGGGCGCTCGCCGTTTGTTATTGTCCCGCATCGGTGTACGGTATCGTATGGACCAGCCGGCCAAGCGATGCGAGGGGGACGCACGAACAGTACGAGTACGTACCGGTACGAGTTCTACAGTGCGTACAGTACAGTACGTACTGTACTGTTGGAACAACGGGTTTCTCTTCTTTACTGTATGGATTGTTGATCGACGATGATTTGAATTGATTCGCACCACCTGGTTTCGAAGGCCTCTGTTATGTTGGAACCATCGTGTGTTCCGCGTTTCCTCGGTACTATGCAACGTACCCTGCTACACAACGTACGGACTGGTATGAAACGCACAGGACCGGACCAGAATTCTTCTTCTTCTCCTTCGGATCGTAGTACCGGACCGTAAGGTACTTTTCCGTCCCGTGATTGGTCCTGCAGTGTCTCAAACTCCACTGGATTGAAGTGAAGAAAGGACAGACTCTCGTTGAGACAAGAACCACCACCAACTCAAAAGAGGGACGAAGTTGCTGATTGTCTGGATTTGAGAGAACAATCAACTCAAAGGAATCAATGGAGAGCGCGCTAATGCTGGATAACAGCATCTAGTATAACAAGCATGATCCATGTGCTTCCCTCCCCCAGCAGCAGCAAAGCCAAGGCCCCCTCTCCTCATCTCCTCATTGGCTGTCGTTGTGTACTAAACTGCTGATTTGGTATCAGTTGTTGTTGTGGCTAAGAGACCAAACTGGAGGAAACCACAATCAATCCCAAAATTTTTTCTAACGAGCTCACCTATCAGAACACACATTCAAATCAATTGAAGAATGCAGAGGACACCAACATCTCAAGCAACGTGAGCTAAAGTGAGTGGAGATGAGGATATCGATGTTGCTACTAACAGATGGTCAAAGAAAGAAAGATCTAAAGGACACACCATTATGCTCAACAAGATTTGCTCAATGAATGCTTAAAGCGCTTCCAAGAGAAGCTCTAGCAACTGGAAGCGCAGTCAGCAGGATTGACTAAAATCTTCATCACACACCAACAGGGGGGGATCAGGCAGTGCTGAGTTGGATTAGTCAATGCTAGAACCATGACCACCTATTATGCCCTGGATTGCATCTGCTGTTCTTTGAACTCTTTTCAGGGGTCATGAGTTACATGATGAGTGAGCTAGCCTCCACATCAAATGACCTCTGGGTGTGCAAANGCCGTATTCGAGGGGTGACTGGCTTCTGGATTGCAATCCATTGACAATTCTGGCTGGGTGATGGCTGGCAAGGGGAGAGGAGAGCGTCTGCTGGGAGTCATGCCATGGGTTCGTTCGTTTGTCTTTGGTGCCTGCCCGCAATCGCGGTCGAAGCCGAAGTCGAAGTCGCAATCACAGTCGAGGTCGCGGTCGGTCGCGGTCGCCGAAAGATAGAATTCGAAACATCCTTCTTCCCCCAGATGCCCACGAACGATCTCACCTTCACGGTGTTGACGCCACTTAAGCAATCGCCGACCCCCGACCCGGGAGGGGCGGTTTCTTCGTCGTCGATCCCGCTGCCGTGTTGTGCCGTACTCTACTCGTACAACGGCTAGTCGTATCCTCCCACCATCTGCTCGGTCCGGGGCCCTCCTTAACAAGGGAGTGACGCCCTTCCTGCATCGGTAGATTCCCGTTTACTTATCGGGGGGTCGATGTCCGGCAGATGGTGTCCCGCGCTGGTTCCCTCGGGGTCGAAGGAAATTCCCGCGATGACGACACGGCCAGATGGTTTTGTGCAATAGTTGGTCGCGCGGAATCCACACTTGTTCCTTCCGACCATCGGGAAACAACGGACTTAAACAACCTCGATTCGATTCGTGGGCGCTCGCCGTTTGTTATTGTCCCGCATCGGTGTACGGTATCGTATGGACCAGCCGGCCAAGCGATGCGAGGGGGACGCACGAACAGTACGTACCGGTACGAGTTCTACAGTGCGTACAGTACAGTACGTACTGTACTGTTGGAACAACGGGTTTCTCTTCTTGATGGATTGTTGATCGACGATGATTTGAATTGATTCGCACCACCTGGTTTCGAAGGCCTCTGTTATGTTGGAACCATCGTGTGTTCCGCGTTTCCTCGGTACTGTACGCAACGTACCCTGCTACACAACGTACGGACTGGTATGAAACGCACAGGACCGGACCAGAATTCTTCTTCTTCTCCTTCGGATCGTAGTACCGGACCGTAAAGTACAGGTACTTTTCCGTCCCGTGATTGGTCCTGCAGTGTCTCAAACTCCACTGGATTGAAGTGAAGAAAGGACAGACTCTCGTTGAGACAAGAACCACCACCAACTCAAAAGAGGGACTAAGTTGCTGATTGTCTGGATTTGAGAGAACAATCAACTGAAAGGAATCAACGGAGAGCGCGCTAATGCTGGATAACAGCATCTAGTATCACAAGCATGTGCTTCCCTCCCCCAGCAGCAAAGCCAAGGCCCCCTCTCCTCATCTCCTCATTGGCTGTTGGTGTGTAAACTGCTGATTTGGTACTATCAGTTGTTGTTGTGGCTAAGAGACCAAACTGGAGGAAACCACAATCAATCCCCAAATTTTTTCTAATGAGCTCGCCTATCAGAACACACATTCAAATCAATTGAAGAATGCAGAGGACACCAACATCTCAAGCAACGACGTGAGCTAAAGTGAGTGGAGATGATATCAATGTTGCTAACAGATGGTCAAAGAAAGAAAGATCTAAAGGACACACCATTATGCTCAACAAGATTTGCTCAATGAATGCTTAAAGCGCTTCCAAGAGAAGCTCTAGTAGCAACTGGAAGCGCAGTCAGCAGGAGTGACTAAAATCTTCATCACACACCAACAGGGGGGGATCAGGCAGTGCTGAGTTGGATTAGTCAATGCTAGAACCATGACCACCTATTATGCCCTGGATTGCATCTGCTGTTCTTTGAACTCTTTTCAGGGGTCATGAGTTACATGATGAGTGAGCTAGCCTCCACATCAAATGACCTCTGGGTGTGCAAAGATTTAAGTAAGTTTTTTTCAGCTGTAGCTACTATGGGCCCATTTAAAACAATGGGCGCATATCCCCTGGGAGGGACCAAATGACCCCCCCCCCCCGTAGCGGACTGAGGAACTAGCTACTCCTTATGTCTGAATCTCTGTTAGGCTCAAGAAGCCCAGCAACTTAAAAATCTTATATAGCTTGTTCTTTGAATTTGTGACCACAGTGATTGGAAGTGCAAGTCACTACCAAGCGTCTGGACGACCACCAACACACCATCCACGTCCATTGGGTTGCTCATGCAATACTCCTTGGTTGTGCCATCAATCAGCAATGCTTCTCAAAAAGAACTCCCCTAACTACTGCGGCAGTCAGTACGGTATGGTACTTGTACTACCCTATGACACGGAATGCACGGTTCTTCCACAAAAAATGATAGTTCTTGTTGCTGTATGTTCTTGCAATGCAACAAGTGTGGACCGCCGCAACACAACCGATGTCTTCTGTCTTTGATGACCCAACCCCAACCCTAACCCCAATCCCAACACACTATCATACCATACTATACTAGTACGGCATTCCTGCATGTTATGCATATGGTACGGTACCGCAAGACAAGCTGCACTTGCCCTTGCACCTGCACACCAATTGATTGTCCCTCCCGATGGAACACACACTGTTGAGGATCAGAGGAATGCACCAGGGGACAGACAGACAAAGCAAACCRGCAACWTAACAGACTGRKSAGMRKA